GTGGTCGAGTTGTGAGGCATGACTGTTCATCCGGTCTGCGCTTGCAGCTTACTGGTACTGAAGTTGACAAACTCTCCGTGATGACAACCCAACTTCTGACACCTCTAATCGGAGGGTCCACTGTTGTCCCGATGCGAAAGAGCAGTTATCCCTGACTGACGGAGGACCTACTGTACATCCAGTCTGCGCTTGCAGCATACTGGCACTGAAGTTGACACTCTTCGTGATGACAACCCAACTTCTGACACCTCTAATCGGAGGGTCCACTGTTGTCCCGATGCGAAAGAGCAGCTATCCCTGACTGACCGAGGGTGCACAGGCGTGGTCGAGTTGTGAGGCATGACTGTTCATCCGGTCTGCGCTTGCAGCTTACTGGTACTGAAGTTGACAAACTTTCCGTGATGACAACCCAACTTCTGACACCTCTAATCGGAGGGTCCACGGTTGTCCCGATGCGAAAGAGCAGTTATCCCTGACTGACAGAGGGTGCACAGGGGTGGTCGAGTTGTAAGGCATGATTGCACATCCAGTCTGCGCTTGCGCCTTGCTGGTACTGAAGTTGACAAACTCTCCGTGATGACAACCCAACTTCTGACACCTCTAATCGAAGGGTGCTTTGTTGTCCCGATGCGAAAGAGCAGTTATCCCTGACTGACAGAGCGTGCACGGGCGTGGCAGAGTGGTAAGGCATGACTGTACATCCACTCCGTGATGACAACCCAACTTCTGACACCTCTAATCGGAGGGTCCATTGTTGTCCCGATGCGAAGGAGCAGTTATCCCTGACCGACGGAGGGTGTACTAGCGGCGTTCGCTTGCAAAGCTTGCGTCTTTATGTTTTCTTCGTGTCCTGCTTAGTCCAGCTCGATGTTCTGGAAGCGTTAGAGGGGGCTGAGCGTTGAAGGCCTCGTGTGGCTGTCCACGAAAGGTCCTGGTGACCTATCCCCGAGACATCCCCCTACGGAAGCATGGCGAACCACCCTTGCTGAGGCACAGGTCGTGGCTGCCGCTTTAAGCAATGCCTCAGCCCAAGTTTGGCAATGAGACAGTGTTCGTAAGCCTCCGTGGAAGTATGAAGCCTGTCAGCTAACCCGATAAGTTGATGCCTTTCGCACTCAGCTGATTCTTGTTTGTTGTGAGACCAGGCGGTTGTGGTCGAGAACTATTTTCTTAGATATGAAGCACAGGGCCACACTGATTGTGTCGCAAGTTACGGGAAACTCTGCCTCAAGGCAAGTACCTCCGGGAATCTGACCGAGGGCTTCAGGCCGGGGTTCGGGATCTCCTCAGGGCCTTGGATTTGGGTTTAGGGTTTAGGGTTCAGGGGGTTTAGGGTTCAGGGGGT